GACCAGGAGCATGGACGGGACTTCACCGAAACGTTTGCTCCGGTTAGCCGCCATACTTCACTTCGCATCCTTCTCGCAATCGCCGCCATGAAGAAGAAAAAGCTGCGACAGATCGATGTCGCAAATGCTTTTCTCTACGCACCTGTTGACGCAGAGATCTTCGTGGAACTACCACACGGTTCCAGCACGAACTCCACGCACGTTTGCCAGCTGCTAAAATCACTTTACGGGATCAAACAGGCTCCGCGACTATGGCAACAGTACCTGCATGCACGTCTCATCCGCATCGGCTTTAAGCAACTCCCGCACGACCAGGGCATGTACTGTTAGAATCTAGAGACAAGGATGATGCATTGATCAAGAGTTGGGTACATAAGCTAACCCTAACATTGGGTTGTACCCCATATGGGCTACCCCACTAGCAGCCTACACAAACACAATATGCATAGTTTGACACACCCCCATAGGCAAAGTGGGGGAGAACAAGGGGTCATAAGACCAGTCAAGAGAAACAAAACAAGCTCAGGGTGGATCACAACGTCACCACACACACTGAGCACAAGCAAAGGGCCACAAGGCCTGTCCACATGCAGAGGTATATATGCAACAAACAAAGTACAGTGATCACTACCTAGCAAGAGCAAGCATGCAGGTATATATATATATAAAGATCACAGTACAGGCAGAGTCTACAGCAAGTGTGGAAACGTAGGCACAAGGCCCAACAAGGTACAAAAGCGCTGATGATCACCAGACGGAAGTGCCTTGGTGAATATATCAGCAGTGTTGGCCCGGGTGGCCACGTGTGCTGTGGGCTGTGCGCGGGCTGCGGGAGGCAGAAGCAGGCCGCGCGCAGCAGCAGCAGGCCGCGCGCAGCTCAGCAGGGGCTGCGCGCAGAAGCAGGAGGCCGCGCGCGGCTCGGCAGGGGCTGCGCGCGGCTTGGGGGGGTCGCGCGCGGCAGCAGCGGGCTGCGCGCGGCTCGGCGGGGCTGCGCACAGCTGAAAAAGGGCCGCGCGCGGCTCAACAGGGCTGCGCGCAGCCAAAAACGGGCCGCGTGCGGCTCGAATAGGCTGCGCGCAGCAGGAAACGGGCTGCGCGCGGCTCGACGGGGCTGCGCGCGGCTCGGCGGGGACACGCGCGGCTCGGCGGGGGCTGCGCGCGCCAGATCCGGGCTGCGCGCGGCTCTACGGGGCTGCGCGCGGCTCTATGGGGCTGCGTGCGGCTCTATGGGGCTGCGCGCGGCTCGGCAGGGCTGCACGCGGCTCGACGGGGGCGGTGCGCCGCGATGACGGTGTGTGAGAGGCAGCAGAGCGGCGCGAGCAGCGAGGGACAGTAGCAGGCAGCGTGCTTGACGTAGGTCTGCGCGGTAGCAGCAGCAGACGGCACAGTAGGCAGCAGGCAGTAGGCTACAGGCAGACGGCGCGCGCAGCGCAGCATGTTACAGGCACAGGCGTGGGGTAGCGGTAGGTGGGCCCGGAAAAAAAAAAGCGGTCCTACGGACCTACTGCTCTGAAACCATGTTAGAATCTAGAGACAAGGTTATGCATTGATCAAGAGTTGGGTACATAAGCTAACCCTAACATTGGGTTGTACCCCATATGGGCTACCCCACTAGCAGCCTACACAAACACAATATGCATAGTTTGACATGTACCGGCTCACGAAGAACGACGACTACATCCTGCTAATCGTCTACGTAGACGACCTCCTCTATATCGGCTCCACCGACGGTATCACCACCTGGTTCGAAGGGGAACTGCAACAAGACCTCACACTCACGGTTTCGTCTACTGTGACTCAGTACCTCGGCCTCAACATCCGGGAAGAAGATGACGCAATCTACCTCAGCGCCGAAAAGTACGCCGACACCATCGCCAAGCGCTTCAACCTCACGCCAACCGTCATCTCCACGCCGTATCGCTACACGACAGGATACAACAAGGGAGAATCTACTCTACTCAAGCCTGCCGGGATTCGCGACTACCAGAGAAAACTGGGATGTCTTCTCTTCGCAGCTGTCACCTGCCGCCCCGACCTCTCGTATTCCGCAAGCCAGCTCGCTACCTACCTCAAAAGGCCTGAAGCAGAACACCTGGCGGAGCTCGACCGCGCTCTTCACTACTTCGTCAGCACTCCAACGATCGGCCTAACGTATCACAGGAATGCAACTACACCGACTAAGCTAATCGGCTACGTCGATGCCGATCACGCCGGCGACTCCGACAATAGGCGATCCCGCACCGGCTACATCTACCGCCTCGAGCCTATCGGTCCTATCTCCTGGCAGTCGAGTAAGCAAGAACTAATCGCCCTCTCATCAGCTGAAGCAGAATATATCGCACTCTGCTCAGCCACCAAGGAAGGACTTTACCTTCGCGAGCTGCTGGAAGAAGCGAAGTTGGCCGAGTTACCCAATTTCACTCTGTTCTGCGACAACCAATCTGCAATTCGCATCGCCAACAAAAGTGGCTTCGCGAACAGAACGAAACATATCGCCCTGCGATATTTCTTCGTGAAAGACGAGATCGAGAAGGGGAGACTTGAACTATCCTACTGTCCCACGTCCGAGATGGCAGCCGACTATTTGACCAAGAAGCTCGGAAAGCAGAAGTTCGAGTACTGCATGCTGCTGACTGGACAAGGCCACGTCACCAGCAGCGACACTCCAGAAGCGAAGGGGAGTGTTGGAAACAAGTAATTCCTAAAGCGCCTCTGTCGTGTCGAAACATCACACACGAAGCGAAGCGAGTCATATCGAGGCACGAACGAGTCAACCCTCGGAGGTTGAAAGAGGTTGCTGGAGGTTACGCGAAAGTCAAAGGTCAAGCGACCTTTGACCTGACAAGTACAGCGCGACAGTTAAGGACACACAACTGACTCGCTACAGAGCAGTTGCCCGAGTCGTACTGTATCGAACCGCAACAGCAAATTAGTTACAATCGTATCCTTTCGTATTCCTTGTACTACTATATATTCTTGTATCTCTTTGTTATAATCAACTTACTTTGCTCTCACACACTAGTGCAAGGTGGTTCACAAGTCTCCATTAAACGCTTCCGCTAATACAATAGTTCTACCCTGAACTTACCTCTGCAAAAGATCCTAAGGGCTTTTTCTCAGCTCAACAGGCACCACACATCGCGTCTGAATAAGAGAAAAATACTGGAAACAATGCACTGCAAGCTTGCATGGATAAGGTAATTTGGAGTTCCTTGGTGTACACTGTGCAAATCCCGGATATGCAGGTTGGTGACAAGAACTCGGTGTGATAAGGACGTGGTGCAGATCGGGCAATCTGAGTCAGATTGCAGCAGATTGGGGCGTCCAACCTTTCCGAGAAGTCCCAGGGGTATTTTGGGCCAATCAGAGGCAATCGGGGACAATCTCCCGAATGCGATCGATTTCCTCGATCTGACACAATCGATTGCGATCGATAGATTGCATCAGTTCGTAGTGCCTGGCGATCCTCGCGATCAGTAACTCACCCTAACAAAATTCGCGACTGCTCGCATCAGCGTTTGATATCGCGAAATCAGAAAGCGGGCGAAGTGCATGGAAGAACATAGAACCTACAAATGGGTTACAGAAATTCGCCAGGTGTCGCCAAATTTCTGAGGATGGAGCCTTTCAATAGCCAAGAACCCGCTCTGCTAATTCTAAGTGACCGCAAATTTCTTTACCTGATCGCGCGGCGCGGGCCGCGATCGACAGATTGCTTCAGACCGGCAATCTTACCCAATCTGATCCAACACGACCCCACGACGATCTGAGGCGATCATCGCTCCGATCTGCACCACTTCCTGAGTGATGCTCAACTGAGTAAACACCCTGTAATTCTGAGCAGGCCTGGTGTGCTGCACTGGTTGCTGGTCGGTGGAGGGGAGACGCGATGTGAAAATGTCTGACGCCCTCAAGTTGGTTTGGGTTTCCCTGTGGCCCACAAAAGAGGTGGCGGAGTATTGCTTATGCTCAAGCGTTGGCCACGTGGTTGGGTGTAAAACCAGATTTGCTGCCCCGGTCCGACCTGCCATGCTCCCCCCGTCTCCCTAGTTCAATATCGTCCAAGGTGAAAGAACGCGTTTACAGTACATGTGGACGATATTATATCCTTTTGTTTCTTCGGCCCTTTTTCAGAAAGTACACACATTGCCACAATTACAAAACGTTGCACGGGGTATTTTCAAGGGGTGTGTTAAGGGGTGATCAAAGTGCTGCACCAGCTCGACGTCGAGGGACGTCGGTGAATTTCAACCCTCGGATCAAAAGTTCCAACCGTCAGGATTCACCGAAATCCCTCGACGTCGAGCTGGTGCCTCACTTTGATCACCCCTTTATATTGGAAAACAGAATATGTGTATTTTCCGCACCGGTATATCTTTCAAACAAGGGTCGACTCGACCCTTGAAAAAGACTTGACTGGTCAGCACATCAAATTGACGAACTGCGCGTGCGAGAGAGGTTGTTCATTCCAAGCTCACGACGACCTTCGTTCACGAATCTCGTGAATCATGATGCGATTATTCGACTTGAGGGGGAAGAGTCCATCCATGGGTGTCTGAGCTCTGGCCAATATCGCTGCTGCTAGTCGTCTGGAGGAGCTGCTGGGGCCTTCAGGTGGAGCAAGCTCCCAAAAAGAGTATTTCCACTGGTGCAACGAAGCATGCTGTCGTGAGAAAACAAGTGGATCTCGAAAAGGCCTTGCCTCACACAGCAGTCGTTCCTGGGGTCTTCGTTTGAAAGGCTGGGAGAGATGGAACAAACACTACGAACAGATGCAGACGAACCGAAGTTTCCAACACGGGTTTGGAATCCAGTCACGACGTATCTTTCTTTTACGGATGGGATAGACCATCGCTCGCAGAGCTTACCGTGGCGACTGCTGTGAAACAGCGGAACTCACGGTGGGAGTCGCGGCGACAGAACACACAGCGCGCCGCCGAAAGGGGCTGAAAAGTCGCACAGCGGATGGAAGGCACAGCTCTTCCGCCAGAACTAGCGCAATGGCGCGAGCAGGAACCGGCCCAGAGACTGTCAGCGCAGCAGCCGCCGTCAGCATGGCTCGTGCGCACGTTATCACAGCCGCAACAGCAGCTGTTGCTCTCACAGCAACCGCTGCCGCAGCGGCATCCTGTGCCGCCGACTCAAACGCAAGCGCAGACGCAACACTCGCGGGAACGGGAAACGTCAATAGAGCAGCCGTCGCCGAATGAGGAGTCGTCGAAACGAGTCGATGTCGCCCAGCAGTTACTGCCGCGTGTAGATTCGTTGCGCCAACAGCCGCAGCTTCCGGAACTCTCCTGGGGGGAGGGGGACAGCGGCGGGCACGCGGTGCGTTTCGGCGAGCCCGGTTCGTTGGGTTTTCGCATGATGTTTCTCGATCGCCGCGATCGCATCGTTTCGCCGTGGCACAACATCCCGTTGTACGGCGAAAACAGCTGGTTGAACTGCGTTTGCGCGACGCCGTCCGGCAGTTGGTTGAAGCACGAATTCGCACCGGAAGAATACACCCCGCTGCGCGTCGCTCCGAAACGCGGAGAACCGTCGCACTTTTGCGACAACGCCACGTGGAACCTCGGCCTGCTGCCGCAGACGTGGCAGGACCCGGAGGAACTCGTCGAGGAATTTCCGGGCATGATGGGTTGCGGCAGTCCCTTGGAGGTGATAGATGTTTCGGGTGGGCTGCCCGCGAATCTAGGGCAGGTTTACACGATTAAGCCGCTCGGAGTAATTCCAGTTGTGCGCGAGGCTGGATTGGCCTGGGTGGTGGTGGGAATCGGCGCGGGGGATTTGTTGGCGAGTTTGATGAATCACGTTGATGACGTGTACGCGCTGCTCCCGGGAACAATGGAATCCGTCATCCATTGGCTGACGATTTGCGACACCACTGAACCTGGTGAGGCTCCTTGTTTCTGTTTGGATAACTTGGAAGGTCGACGATTTTGTCTTATCGTCAGGACCCATGAGTCGCGGTAGCTTAAAGTGTGATATGACGTGTCTGTGATAAGTTGCCTTGGCAGGTCTGGAGGTCCCTCGAGAACTTCTCGAGATCCTGGAGGTCCCTGCGATTAAGCCAGGGACGAAATAGTCACGTTAATATTCGTGTTAATGCCTGAACTGTACAGTTCTGGATCCTGTAAACATATATAATAATGTGGTCTATCCAGGCTTCAGTACAGTACCACTGAAGCAATCAGGGACCTGGACTGAAGATCAACCTGGCTCTGGCCTAGGTCTTGTCGGATATTTTCGCGCGTCCTCTCGCCGCGTTTTCCACCATCGCTCCCGCTTCTTACATCCCCCATCTGCTCTCCATTTCTTACAGCGCGACGTATCAAACGAGGGGTGCTCTGCTCTTAGCTTCCTCCAGGAGCCCTTTAAATTTCGAATGGCTTATTCGTTTGCCTCCTGCTTCCAGGAGACCCCTTAAACGGTGCTAGCCAGTGACAGCACAGGCGCACACCGCATGGCCGCTCTTGCAGAAACGTTCAGCGGAGCCCTGGACTGGACGGGACCCAACTTTGAATGATTTCTTCCCCTGTTTTCTCCTTCTTTCATGAAAACCCCCATCCTTACTAGCTAGTAACGACAGCTACGGTGCAGAGAAAGTCTTGACAGCAACATTTAACCAAATCCTTGGACTGAACAGGACCCAACTTTGAGTAATTTCTTCCTCTGCTGTCCCTCCAGGAGACCCCCCAGCGGTGTTAGCCAGTGATGACAGCTACGGTGCAGACAAGGCGCTTGAGGTGATAGCACAGGCGCACGCCGCATGGCAGCTGTTTCTCCACAGCAACGTGCAGCCGGAGCCCTGGCGGCCGGATCTGGATGTGTTCTCCACCAACGTGCTGCAGGCCTGCTGGCGCAAATACACTGACGGGCAGAGCGCTGTGGTGCTCCCTGTATCGTGTGAGCGGCGGGATGAGAGCGTTCCTGGAGATGCTTATAACGGGGATGAGATGCTGGGGGCTGGATCGGTGGGGTTCGGTGCGGTTGATGGAGATATGGCGGATGAGGAGGGGGTTGAGAGGGATGCGAGGGGGTCTGGGGGTGCAGGCAAGGGTGTGGTAGAAGCAGGCTCCAAACGGGGTTCTCAGAAAGTTCCGGATGGGCGGAGAAAAGGCGGAAGGCTGAGCCGAATATCGCCATCAGCAGTAGCACCTGCCACTGCCACTGCTGCTGCTGGTGGTTGCGTCTCAGAAGCAGCAGCAGCAGCAGCAGCAGCTGGAGGGGGGAAAGGAGGAAAAGGAGGAACGGGAGCAGCAACAGCAGCAGCAGCAGCACTGACGGGAAAAGACTCGCCAGCTACCCCCGCTACCAAAGGCTCCAACAAGATGAGCTTCTTTAGGTCTCGCCTCCCCAGCCTCCCTCCGGCCCCACCGCCCTCACACTACGATGACGTCATAGCAGCATCAGCACTGTCAGCATCGGCATCAGCGCTTGCTGCACGGCATCCCAGCAGCTTTGAGAGCGGTACGGGGGGGTACAGCAGCAGCAGTGCGCATGGGAAGGGGTCCCGTGCGTGGAGCCCTCTAGCTGTTCTGCGCTCCAAGTCGCCCGGCACTCACCAGAGCAATCATAACACGCATGGCAGGCAGAGCACGGCAGGTGACAGCAGCAGAAAGTCGCCTGGAAGCTGGCAGAGTAGTGCCGCAGGGGTGAGCTCACAGGCGGCTGCAGGCCAGATGAAGCACCATGCAGGCAGCCAGTCGCCGGTGAGTGGTAGACCACCAAGCAGCCCATCCCCGATCGGTGGTAGACCACCAAGCCACCCGTCCCCAGTGGGTGGTAAACCACCAAGCAGCCCAGTGGGTGGTAGACCACCAAGCAGCCCATCTCCTGTGGGTGGTAGACCACCGCTCAGAAGCAGCAGCGGCAGCGTGTCTCCAGGAGGCCAGAGGGGGCGAGAAAGCAGGTCGCCCGGAGACAGGTTGGTGGTGCCCAGGTCTCCAAGAGAAAGGATGCTGAGGCCTAAGTCTCCAAAAGGAATTCTTCCTGGCTTTGCCTTGGCAGCTCTTGGGGGCGATTTGCGAGCAGGTGGTGCTGTTGGTGGTCCTGCTGCTGCTGCTGCTGTTGGCGGCGGTGCTGCTGGTGTTGATAGTGGTGGTGTCTGGGTTGCAGCTGCGTCTGAACCTGCCAACGCTGATGGTCATGCTGATGGTGACGGTGATGGTGATGGTGATGGTGTTGCGTCAGTAGTCTCACCTCCGTCCGCCGCTGCTACATGTGACCCGCTTGCTGGGGTGGGGAAGCCTCTCATAAGCCGCTCCTTGCAGCGCAGACTGTCCCCCCGGGGGCTACACCTGCACATGCCAGTGGTGGCACTCAAAGGCCTGCAGAACCTACCAGCGGTGGGCAAGGCAGGGCTGCAGCAGCTGCCTGTTGTGTCTCCCCGCGCGCTCAAGTTGGCAGAGGTGGCGAAAAAACTGATTGGTGGGTTCTCCGGCTGGCATTCCGGGGAGGAGCGAAGCAGGGAGACAGACAAAGTCAGCAACAGGGACGGAGGCAGGGACAGGGATGGGGACGGAGACAGAGGGGACAGGGACCGGAGGGATGGCACAGGGCAGTCCTGGCTGGATTCGCACGCACAAGCGCCGATCTCTTGGGAGAGTGATGTGTTCCCAGTGGATATGCTGCTTGCGGGGCTGCTGGAGGGGGAGAGCTCACAGTCACACCACCCGGACCTGGAAGAGTCCAGACAGGGTGACTTGCACCCGAGCCCGGCACACCTGAGACAAGAAGGCGCTGTGCTCACAGGCCCTTCCCAACGTGAAGGGCTGCTGGCGGGGATGCTGGAGGGGCGGAGCTCGCACCCACTGGGCCTGGCCCAGTCCAGACGGGGGGAGACTGTGTGTGCGGGTATTCCCGAGGGTGATGGGCTGCTGCGTCGGCTTCGCAGTGAGAACCTGTCTGCGCGTGGGGCGTTTCAGCAGCAGCCGGGGGATGGTTGGAAGCATGGGTTGGCGGAAGGTGGTCGTGAGGTGGACAGGCTGCTGGTGGGGTTGCTGGAGGCAGGAGGTCCGTGTGTGGGTGCGGCAGAGGCAAGCAGAGATGCTGAGGTGCTGCGTTGGCACGGCAGTGAGAACCTCTCAAGGTATAGCTCCGCGTGTCCTCCTGTGCTGCTGCGGGCAGTGCCTAAAGGAGGAGTAGTAGGTACCGACGAGGTGCCCACAGTAGCAAGAGCGGGGGCTGCTGGGACGGCGGGGGCAGTGGAGATGGCGGGAGCAGTAGCAGGAGTTGGAGCAAGGGGGATAGCAGCAGAAGCAGCAGCAGCAGCAGTGGTAGAGTTAAGCCACTCTGGCATGGCTTGTGAGCTCACAGCAGAGGGGAAATTGCCCCAGAGACCCGGACAGTTGGGTTATAGACCCTTCTTTCCTCATTCCAAGTCTCTACCCTCGGCTTCAACTGAAGGAAGCTGGAATGAGGAGGAAATCATACACCCGGTTTTGGCTGTGAAAAGGATTTCAGTTGAGGCGCCTCACTTTTTTAATAGGATGACTGTTCCTGAAGACGTAGCTGCTCCTTTAGCTAGGCGTGCTTTCCCTTCAGATAGTGGAAACGGTTTTGCTGCTATGGAAGACAGACAGTCACAGAGGCAGAAATGGATGAGGCAGCAGCAGCAGCAGCAGCAGCTCCAGCAGCAGCAGCAGCTCCAGCAGCAGCAGCAGCTCCAGCAGCAGCAGCAGCTCCAGCAGCAGCAGCAGCTCCGGCAGCAGCAGCAGCAGCAGACCCAACAAGGTGCCTATGCAGCCCCTTCAGCAGCAGCTCAGGATGGCCGGTTTCGTCGCACTCGCTCTGCCCCCCACTCCTCCCTACCCTCACCACCCCTCGCCTCCCCCACTCCTCTCCCCAGTCACCCATCCGGACTCCTCCCAACTCCGCCTCTTTCCTCTCCACCCTCCATATTTGACAACCCTCAATTCTCTTGGCCGTCTGCATCGGCCTCTGCCCGCCGCCGCTCCTCGTCCTTCTCGGGGTGTGGGAGCTCTTGCCGCGGCTCGCCCGACTGCACCAAGACCACACACCCTCCTGCGTTTGATGCTACAGCCGCCCATGCTACAGCCGCCTCTGCTACAGCCGCGTCTGCTACAGCCGCCCATGCTACGGCCGCCCATGCTACAGCCGCCCATGCTACAGCCGCCCATGCTACGGCCGCCCATGCTACAGCCGCCCATGCTACAGCCGCCTCTGCTACAGCTGCCCATGCTACAGCCGGCCATGCAGTAACTGACAGTGCTGCAGCCAGGCTTCATATGGCCAGCTGCTCAACAGTCAGTGTTCCTCCTGGCCCTGCCATGCCCTCTCAGCAGCAGGACAGTCAGCAGCATTGGCAGCGCTGTATGGCTCATCAGCATCAAGAGCAGCTAGAGCATCAGCAGCAAGAGGAAGAGCAACAGCAGCAGCAGCAGCAGCAGCAGCAGCAGCAGCAGCAGCAGCAAGAGCGAGAGCTGTTAGAATATCTATACCTAAATGAGTATGAGCAGCAACAATACGAGAATCAGCAGCCAAAGCAAGAGCATCAACAGCAACAGCGAGAGGTGTTAGATTACTTATACCTGCTTGACCATGAGCAGCAACTATTCGGGCACCAGCAGCCACAACACGCACCTCGACATTATCAACCTTATCATCATCAGCAGCAGCAGCAGCAGCAGCAGCAGCAGCGGCAGTGGAATGCAGTAGACAACTATCAAATGCCACTCAGCCTGCCACTGCCCGAGCTACCGGTGGACCCTGGGGAAGATGAGTACGAGGAGTCAGGCAGGAGGAGAGAAGAGGGAATGGGAGCAGTCACCTATGTGCAAGAGCAGGAGGAGCAAGAGCAGCAGCAGGTGGATTTGAGGGAGTTGGATGTGGCAGGGCTGGTGCTGAGGGGAGGTGGGCGGGGAAGGGAAGAGACAAGTGGGTTGGAAGGGATTCGAAGGATGCAAGGGCTGGGCTTGGTGGGGGGGCGGCAAGGCGGACGCTGGCAAGAGGGGGTGGAGGAGGGGGTAGAGAGACAGCGGGAGCAGCATGATCATGAGCAGGTTTTGCTGCAGGGGCAAAGCCAATGGTGGCGGCAACACCTGGAGCAGCAGCAGCAGCATCAGCAGCAGCAGCAGCAGCAACAGCAGCAGCACCAGCAGCAGCAGCAGCAGCAGCAGCAGCAGCAGCAGCGGCGGCAGCACCAGCACCAGCAATTGCACGTGCAAAATGAAGCAAGAGCAGAAGCTGGAGGTGCAAGGGCAGCGGCAGGGGTAGTGCAGTTGAGGCGCAGTCATACAGAGGATTGGAGGGCGCACAGGGCACTGGTGGCGGAGGCAAGAGGGCAGCATGAGCGGCAGCATCAGAAGAACCAGCCGCACCAGCAGCAGCACCCGCAGAGGACATCAGCAGGAGCAGCAGGTGAAGGTGCAGGAGCAGGGGCAGGGTTGTTGAGGCGCAGTCATACGGACGACTGGAGGGATCACAGGGCAAGGGGGCAGCATGAGCAGAGCCAGCGGCAGCACTTGCAAAGAGCAGCAAGTGCAGCAGATGCAGGTGAAGGTGCAGGGGCAGGGGCAGGGGCAGGGGCAGGGGCAGGGGCAGGGGCAGGGGCAGGGGCAGGGGCAGGGGCAGGGGCAGGGGCAGGGGCAGTGCAGCTGAGGCGCAGTCAGACAGAGGACTGGAGGGCAGCAAGACTTGTGGCTGAGGGAAGGGGACAGCATGAGCAGCAGGATCAGAAACAGCAGCAGCACTTTCAAAGAGTAGCAAGTGCAGCAGGGACATGGGCAGAGGCAGGGGCAGGGCAGTTGAGGCGCAGTCATACGGAGGACTGGAGGGTCAACAGGACACTGGTGGCGGAGGCAAGGGGGCAGCAGGAGCAGCAGCAGCAGCAGCAGCACCAGCAGCATGAGCGGCGGTATGAGTGGACCTCTGGCTGGGCTGTTGATCGCACTGCTGAGCGTTCTCTTGACTGGCGCTCGCTTTGGCGACCCCAACAAGCTGCGTTTGGTGCTGATGGTGTCGCTACTGGCATTGGTGCTGGTAGTGGTGTTGGCAGTGGCAGGGCAGCAGCAGCGACCAGAGGGGAAGCATCCAGTGGAGGCTGGTCACCTTCTGGTATCGCGTTTGAGGATTCTCAAAGGCCACTCAGTGGAGGCTGGTCACCCTCTGCAGTGGAGGGTGCAAGCGCACTGTATGGGCGCACCATGACCCTCGACAGACACAGTTTCAGGGGCTGGGGCACACGCACAGGCACAGGCGCAGGCATGGGCATGGGTGTGGGCATGGGTGCGAGTCAGATGGGTGTGGGTGTGGGTGTGGGTGTGGGTGTGGGTGTGGGTGTGGGTGTGGGTGTGGGTGTGGGTGTGGGTGTGGGTGTGGGTGTGGGTGTGGGTGTGGGTGTGGGTTTGAGTGAGGGTGATGAGATGGCAGTGCCTCAGCTGGAGCGCAGGCGAACAGTGAGCAGGGTGAAGTTCAGTGAGGACGTGGATGTGGTGATGTTTGAAGAGGCTGACGTGGCATATGCTGTGCTGAGATGCTGACGTGGCATCTGCTGTAATGAGATGGGAGTGCCTCAGCTGGAGCGCAGGAGGACAGTGAGCAAAGTCCAGTTCAGTGAGGACGTAGATGTGGTGATGTTTGAAGAGGCTGACGTGACATCTGCTGTGCTGCGATGCTGATGTGGAATGGCTTGCTGCGATGCTGATGTGGCAACTGCTATGCTGCGGCGATGCTGATGTGGCACCTGCTGTGGCGTGTTTGCGCTGCTGCTGTTGGTGCTGCTACTGCTGCGAATGGTACTGCTGCTGCTGCTGCTGTGAATGCAGCGACGGGAATAACAGCTGCTTGCTGCACAGCTGGTCAACAAAGCAGGCCCCCTAGCTGGATATAGGCTTGGATTTAGGGTTGGATGATTTCCTGTGTTTCACGGGATGGTGTCTCAAGGTACATGGGCGTGAAGGTTTGAGAGTGTGGTGTGGGCTATTCATTTTCCAGGTGTGTGCTATTCATTTTCCAGGTGTGTGCCTCTGGTTTGGTATTCAAGTCATCCGAAACGAATGCACATGTTTGATGCTTGGAATCAAAGGTACAGTACAGGTACCTTGCAGGGCTAGCTTGTTGATGGACCATGGTGCAACACGTGACGAGGTCACATCATGGCATACTTACAGGGACGATGCAGTTTGCGTCTCCCCTGGCTATGGTCGTCGATAGAAAAGAATGATTGTTCCCTCACATCTGTGAGCTTTTCATGCATAAGACGAAGGCTGGTACATAGCAGCAAAGTTGCAGGCAACAGTTCACTTAATGAGGTTGCCACTGCCACCCTCGTCAGGCTGAGTAGGGTTTGGGTTTGGGGACACCTCAGGGAAACACTACACCTACAGTTCTCCTCTGTTCTGCCCACAGTCCACAAACTTCGCCCAGCAGTGTTACATTCATGTCTAGATGCTGCATGTTGTCATGCAATACATAAACAGTGCCAATTTCAGCACAAGGGCAAATGGACGAGCAATAACACCACTAAGCAAAAGTCACCTGGTACCTATGACATGAGAGACGTTGCCTCCTCTTCGTCGCCTTGACTGGATCCATCATGCCTGAGGTGAGGTGCATTGAAAAAAAAAAGAGGGGGAAAATTGGGCGTCGTAACAAATAAGGTGCTAGCGTGGAAAGGCAAACGACTGGATGAGAGTGAAGAGGAAGGGGGTAAGCGGTCGACAGATGAAACCAAGAGTTCAAGACATGAACGGGAGATACACAGCTGAAGCAACACCGCAGAGGACAAGGAGAATTGGTATGGAATAGATTGTTCGTAAGTCACACTGTGTACATGGTTGAAGCAATAGAGGAGGATTGGATATCTCAACTACCTACATACCCATGCATCCTTTCAATTCATGCAATAGAGGAGGAGAGGGGAGGAGGGGAAGGTGAGGCAGAGAGGACAAGGTGTGTGACAAGGTGTGACCAGGAAGTGGCAGGGTAAGGGTGAGAAAAGGGTTCGTTCGAGTCAATTCAAAAAATACACCGGGACAAAATGGCAGGCAGGGCTCCAGAGGAAGGAGAGGGAAGCAAGGGTGCGGACGGAAGGAGAGGTGGCAATGTGTGACCAGGTGTGACCAGGTGTGACCAGGTGTGACCAGGTGTGGCCAGGTGTGACCAGGTGTGGCCAGGTATGGCAGGGAAAAAGGCAGGAAAGAGACAGACCAGGGGAAAAGACGGGCAGGGCTCCAGAAGAAGCAGAGGGAGACGATGAAGAGGACGAGGACGGATATGTGGCAAGGTGTGGCCAGACGTAACAAGGTGTGACAAGGTGTGACAAGGTGTGACAAGGTGGTGTGACAAGGAGAGGGTGAGAAAGGTGACAGTGAGAAGCGTTTGACACTACTCGAAGGAAACACACCGGAGGGAGAGGTGAGCAGGGCTCCAGAGGAAGCAGAGTGAGGCGAGGGTGCGGAAGGAAAGGGAGGTGGCAAGGTGTGTCCAGGGTTGACCCGGTGTGACAAGGTGTGGCCAGGTGAAACAAGGTGTGGCAGGGGAAATACGGGAACGAGACACACCGAGGGGGGAGGCGGGCAGGGCTCCAGAGGAAGCAGAGGGAGGTGAGGGCGAGGAGGGAGAGGTGGCAAGGTGTGACCAGGGTTGAACAGGTGTGGCAAGGTGTGACAAGGTGTGCACAGGTGTGGCAGGGGTAAGAGACGCACCGGAGGGAGAGGCGGGCAGGGCTCCAGAGGAAGCAGAGGGAGGCGAGGGTGAGGAAGGAGAGGAGGTGCCATGCTGCTGTGATGAGCCAGTCGCTCTGCCACTGCAGGTTGAGAGGGTCTGATAGCTTCACATAGGACTGATGGTGCGGATATGGGGGATTGGGGGCGGTGGGGGGGGTTTGAGAATTCTCAGATGATTCTCACTAGATTGGTTCTAGATGGGGGGAGAGGGAGAGACATGGGTTGGAATCAGTACACTTTTCAAAGGCGCTTCATGCAATAGGACAACCGTTTGAAGCACCTCATGAGTAGACAGGAAGAGGGAAGTGGGGTGGAGCATAACGACCTGTTCTCTCTCAAGGAATAAAGGAGGACTTCCCAGCACGCAAGGCAGGGTCTCTTTTGAATGTACCTCACAGCAGGTGAGCGTGATAGCAGCAGCGCCTAACACCCCCATTGCTGCCAGTGCCTGGCGGAAGGTGCTCAGAAGTCGACTGTCTGAAGCCTGCATGCACTGCAGTGTGGCACCGCACAGCACCGCACCGCACCGCACAGAAGAGACGAGAACTTTCCAAACCAAACCACACCGCACCACACCACACCACACCACACCATACCACACCATGCCATACCATGCCACACTCAGCACCGAACCACATAGAAGCGACAGCACAGAAGAGACGAGAACAAGCGGGGGCACGACATCAATAGGGCGAACGGCGCTTGTGAACGGGGTCATTTCCATAATCCTCAGAAACACCCTGGAAAAGGGTGAATGGCGCTTGTGAACGGGGTATTTTCCATAATTCTCATAAACACCCTGGAAAAGGGTGAATGGCGAGCGAGAGTGGTGCGTGCTAATGCGAACTGTAACAAGTGACTGTGGTCAGCACAGCAGCACGTAACTAGCAGCAGAATGGGCCAGGTGTCAACGTGTCAGTGGGCCACACGGCCACACATGTCAATGTCCCACCCACCCCAGTTGCCAGTGTGTCACACCTGTCGACCTCCCACCCTGCTCGCAACGCCTCACCTGCTCCTTTGTAGCAAGAGCTGCCAGGATGAGCCAGGCAGCCAGGCAGAGATCCAGGAGCACGAGAGGGGCCCGCAGAGCCACATGCTCTCCACTGCCCCAATCGTCCACCTGCCCCCCAGTCCTCACTCCCTCGCACTCCTTATTCGCTTTTGAGCCGACTCAAAAGCATGCTCTCCACTGCTCCAGCCACATGTCTCCTTGCCCCAACGAATTGCCACGCCTCACCTGTGCCTCAGTAGCACGAGCAGCCCGCACAGAGCCACGTGCTCAGTGCTCGCACCTGCCATACCTGCTCTGCTCCCCCTCACCTGCGTCTTGGTGGTGAGAGCGGTTGGAATAACCCAGGCAGCCAGAGAGAGGTCCAGGAGCACAAGGGGGGAGCGCAGAGCCACGTGCTCACCACTGCCCCAATCGTCCACCTGCCCCACGGTCCTCACTCCCTCGCATGTAGCAGCCACTAGCACGTACAGGGCTGCTGGTATGAGCGCCTGTGGGGAGGAGGAGGAGGGGAGTGGGGTAGGGGATGCAAGGAATCGTGTGAGCAGAGCGTGCCTCATTTCACTACCTCTCCTGCCCTGTACTGCAAACTGCCTCGCATGTGCACGCCACTAGCACGTATAGGGCTGCTGGTATGAGCGCCTGTGGGAACGAGGGAGAAAGAGAGGAATAAGGCTGGTAAGGCTAGCACATTTCCAGGAATAGAGCACTGCTGCAGCACTCTAAACCACTCTTCACCACAGCTCACCCCACCAGATTTCAACCCTTTTAGGAATCATTCCTACTTTCAGCAGCCGAGTTTAAACCCCTCCGCAACCCCCACCAGCAATGCTGTTTACAGAAAACCCTCCAGGGCTCAGGCAGTGAGAATAGAGAGCTCTGCAGCACTCCAGCAAGGACCTCTCTGCACCACTCGGCATCCGCTTGTACCACTTTGCACTGCATTGAATCCCCCAACCCACCTTGCCAGGAATCACCCCTATTTTCGGCAGCAGCGTGCCAACCCCCACCGCCACCCCCACCAGCACTCCCCTCATCAGCAGCCCCTGCAGAATCCCCACTGTGACTGCAGCGAGCGTGACTATAACGAATCGGTGCCCCGTGGTGCAGAGGAGGAGGAGGTCGGCGAGGGTGGTGAGGGTGGCGAGGAGGGAGAGGAGGAGGAGGAAGGTGAGGAAGTGAGGGAGGGAGTTTCGATCCAGGGAGTGCCAGGCTGGGCCGAACTGGGGGCGCCAGTAGATATAGAGGAGGGTGTAGAGCTGGGGGGGGGGGGGGGAAGGGGCATAGGAAAAGAGAGGGGGGCGTGGGATGGGCATATGGGAGGGGGGGAGAACGAGAAAGTGAGGGAGGGAGGGAGTTGCGATCGAGGGAGTGCCAGGCTGGGCCGAATTGGGGGCGCCAGTAGATATAGAGGAGGGTGTAGAGCTGTTGGAGGGGGGGGGAGAACAGAGGGGGCATGGGACAATAAGAGGGAAGCGTGAGGCAGGCTGGGGCGAAGTGGGGCCGCCAGGCGAGATAGAGGAGGGTGCAGAGGTGGAGGGGGTAAGGGGGGGGGAAGGGAGTGGGAAAATGGGAAGGCAGGGGCCAGCATGGTTTGACCATGAGAGAGTACCAGGCTCTGTCAAGAGAGGACAGAGAGGTGGACAGGTAAATGGCGGACAGAGCCTGGTTGTGCGCAATGAGAGAGTACCAGGCTCGGCAGAACTGGGGGTGGCAGGTGAGATAGAGAAGGGTGTAGAGGTGGAGGGGAGGTTTTTGAGAATTCTCAAAAATCACTCACAGTGGAGGGGAGGGGGCATGGGAAACGAGGGAGGCGGAGAAGGACGACATAGGAGGGGGGTGAGAGGATGGAACAGGGGAAGGGTGTTGAAGAGGGGAAGGGTGTTGAAGTGGAACAAAGGAGAGGGAATGGGACGAGAGGAAGGTGCGAGGAAGGTGGGGAAGTAAGAGGGAGTTGAGAAGGAAAGAAAGACATCTGCTTTGAACCTGCCATCAAGGCACTTCAAATCCAATTCGCAGCAGATATACTTACGTTCAGACCAGTTTATGATTAACTTGATTCAATTAACTTGATTAAACAACGCCTTGGCACTCCCGTTTAAGACACTTTCTGTGTGACTCTACCACTCACACTCACTCACCACTCACGTCTCCCTATCACTCTCGAACTCACTCCCACACTCACCCACCAGCATGCCTATCTGAAACAGCATGTGCGCGGACAGTACGCCTGGCAGGTATCCCCACCCGTGTGCGCGCCACTCCGTGTATCCAAACACCTTGGTGCTGTCCAGGTCCGCGTACTCTCACACTCACTCTCACACTCACTCTCACACTCACTCTCACACTCACTCTCACACTCACTCTCACACTCACTCTCACACTCACTCCCACACTCACCACCAGCATGGCTGTGTGTAACGGCAGGTGTGACGACAGCATGCCCGGGAGGTATCCTCACCCGTACGCGCGCCACTCTGTGTGCCACTGTGCCCAAGCACCTTGGTGCTGTCCAGCTTCTCATGCTTGCGCTGAAAATCATTCTCACTCCCACACTCACCACCAGCATGCCTGTTTGTATCGGAATGTGAGCTGACAGCATGCCCGGCAGGTATCCCCATCCATGCGCGCGCCACTCCGTGTGCCCAAACACCTTGGTGTTGTCCAGGTTCTTGTCGCACATGGCCAGCCACACGTACACAAAGCCCGCCCGCGGCACATGCACCTCTGCATCTAATGTTGCTGTGAGTGAGCTGTTGCCGACAAACTGGGCCTCCAGGACCCGAGGCCACTGGGGGAGGGAGAGAGCAGGGGACAGAGAGGGCAGGGGGGAGGCATGGAAGAGGGCAGAAGAAAGAGAGGAGGTCTTTTTGAGAATTCTCAAAAACACCCTTCAGCATCTGTGAATGAGGAGAGTCTAAGCAGCCTTTGAGCACCTCGGCGTTCAAAAGGGGCTGTCTGTCCGGATGGGGGTGGTGCTGTCCAGGTTCTTGTCGCAGCCACACATGTCACATACACAAATCCTGTCCGCGCCATGTCTGCATGTCTGTATTTAATGGAGGAGTGAGCTATCAGTGAGCTATCAGTGAGCTATCAGCGAGCTATCAGCGAGATCAGCGAGCTGTGAGCGAGCTGTCAGCGAGCTGTGAGTGAGCTGTCAGCGAGCTGTGAGTGAGCTGTCAGCGAGGTGAGAGCGAGTTGTGAGCGAGCTGTCAGCGAGCTCTCAGCGAGCTGTGAGTGAGGTGTTCGCCATATAGACTGGGCCTCCAGGACTCGAGTCGAGGCCACTGAATGGCTCGTGCTCCAGATGCAATGGTGTCTGAAGGACCATGATATGGGATGCCCCCATATGTGGAGCACAAGCTCCATAGTACAGCAGAAGCAAACAAGTGCTTGCGTTCACTCACACACTCGCATCACATTCGGCGCTCACACACTCGTATCACATTCGGCGCTCACACACTCGCATCACATTCGGGGCTCACACACTCGCATCACATTCGGGGCTGACACACTCGCATCACATTCGGGGCTCACACACTCGCATCACATTCGGGGCTCACACACTCGCATCACATTCGGGGCTCACACACTCGCATCACATTCGGGGCTCACACACTCGCATCACATTCGGGGCTCACACACTCGCATCACATTCAGGGCTCACACACTCGCATCACATTCGGGGCTCACACACTCGCATCACATTCGGGGCTCATACACTCGCATCACATTCAGGGCTCACACACTCGCATCACATTCGGGGCTCACACACTCGCCTCACATTCGGGGCTCACACACTCGCATCACATTCGGGGCTCACACACTCGCCTCACATTCGGGGCTCACACACTCGCATCACATTCGGGGCTCACACACTCGCATCACATTCGGGGCTCACACACTCGCATCACATTCGGGGCTCACACACTCGCATCACATTCGGGGCTCACACACTCGCATCACATTCGGGGCTCACACACTCGCATCACATTCGGGGCTCATACACTCGCATCACATTCGGGGCTCACACACTCGCATCACATTCGGGGCTCACACACTCGCCTCACATTCGGGGCTCACACACTCGCCTCACATTCGGGGCTCACACACTCGCCTCACATTCGGGGCTCACACACTCGCATCACATTCGGGGCTCACACACTCGCATCACATTCGGGGCTCACACACTCGCATCACATTCGGGGCTCACACACTCGCATCACATTCGGGGCTCACACACTCGCATCACATTCGGGGCTCACACACTCGCCTCACATTCGGGGCTCACACACTCGCATCACATTTGGGGCTCACACACTCGCCTCACATTCGGGGCTCACACACTCGCCTCACATTCGGGGCTCACACACTCGCCTCACATTCGGGGCTCACACACTCGCATCACATTCGGGGCTCACACACTCGCCTCACATTCGGGGCTCACACACTCGCCTCACATTCGGGGCTCACACACTCGCATCACATTCGGGGCTCACACACTCGCCTCACATTCGGGGCTCACACACTCGCCTCACATTCGGGGCTCACACACTCGCCTCACATTCGGGGCTCACACACTCGCATCACATTCAGGGCTCACACACTCACATCAGGCTCGTGCGCTGCTCGTCTGACTATAAGGCGGCCCACGGTGCACCCTGTGAGTGGCTCCACACCACACCACACCACACCGCACCACATAGGGATGAGCAAGGGGCGAACACGAACGTGTTCGTGTTCGCCCCTACACAAACACAGCCGTTTGCCGAACCGAACAGTGTTCGGTTCGGCGAACACCTTTAGCAAAAACAGGTGTTCGCTGTTCGCCTGTGAAGGCGTGTTCGGGCGAACCTCGAACACGTTCATGTTCGTCGCGGGGCAAATTGCAGCAGCGGCCCGAACACGAACGTGTTCAGGCAAACCTCGAACACTGTTCGGCGAACACTTTAAGCCAAAAAAAAAAACCTGTTCGGTTCGCCTCGAACGTGTTCGAGGCGAACCGAACAGGTGTTCGTTTTTTTGCTCATCCCTAGCACCACACCACACCGCACCACAAAACACCACACTAGTGAAAGGGAGGCAGTGATTGATTAATGCCCGCACGCACACTCACATCAGGCTCGTGCGCTGCTCTTCTCGCTATCAGCTTGCCGACCATGCAGGTGCAGCCAGTGAGAGGCTCGAGCTGCTTGGTGCACTGCAGCTGAAAGGGTGGTGAGGCAGTGAAACATTAGATGCTGGAACTCACATCCGTCTCATGCCCACAGTGCATCCAGTGAGAGGCTCGAGCTCCTTGGTGCAGCAGAAGAAGAGCGGTGAGGCATTGGCACCACCTATACTGCACTGCACCATACCGCACCTCAACGGATTGGAACTCAACTCACATCTGGCTCGTGCGCTGCTCGCCTGACTATAAGCTTCCCCACGGTGCAGCCTGAGAGTGGCTCGAGCTGCTTGGTGCAGCAGAAGAAGCAGGGCAGTGAAGTAAGGCACAGGCATTGAGAGAGGGAATTCCGAGACTCACATCCGGCTCGTGTGCCTCTCGTCGCACGATGAGGCGGCCCACGGTGCACCCTGTGAGTGGCTCCAGCTCCTTGGTGCAGCAGAAGAAGAGAGGCCCAGTGCCCTCGTCCACCCCGCTGCCTGCATGGGCGAATGGGGCAGGGATGGGATGAGGAAGGGGAGAGAGTGGGGGGAGAGACACACAGGAAAGTTGTGTGAGAAAGGTCCAAGGAACATGAGCTCCTTGGTGCAGCAGAAGAAGAGTGGCCCGCCGCCCTCATCCACCCCGCTGTCTGCATGGGCGAATGGGGTTTGCACGGGGAGGGGGACGGGGAGAGAGGGAGGGGAGTTGTGGTGATCCCTACCAAGGCGCACGAGCTCCTTGGATCAGCAGAGGAAGAGCAGAGGAGAGCAATGGGGAGGGGCAGAGGAAAGGGGGGGGGAGAGGGGAGCGGCAGGCGGGAGGAGGGGGGAAAGAGGACACAAATGAACGGTGTTTTCTGTTAGACCCAAGGATCAAAATTACGGTTTTCGTAAAATACGGTTCGTTTTTTAAGGTCATTTTTTACGGCGATTTTTCAAAAAAAACACCGCTTTTTTGTTAGAGAACTCTGTTCTGTTCACCAAGAAAAAAAAGACAAAAACAAGGTCAAAAACATTTTCACTCATGCCAACAAGCGCGTACATGCAAGAAGGGGTCCGTCCCCTTCATGCTGCTGCATTTCGGGTTCAATTTGGTCCCACTAAGTGGCCGTTTTGTTAGTTAATCAGGAAACACCTCCTGGAACCGTTTTAAACCGTTTTTTACGACAGTTTTTTACGATACCGTTTTTTACGGTAATTAAAAAAAAAAAAAAAAAAAAAAACGGTCGTTTTTTTTTTTTTTTTTTTTTTTTTTCCGGGAATGGATTGAACAAAAGAACCACGTTCTTGGAATAAATGAACGCCCGAAAAAATATTGCACTCATGCTTAAAGGAAACTATTTGCTGCGGGCCATAACATACGCCCCCCCCCAAACACAAAGTTGCTTGCTTGCACCTTGGGGTGCGGAAACACATTTTCTTTTTTTCGTAAAGTAAGTGACTCAACTCAAGAAGCATGGGGAAAAAGGGCTGGCGCATTGAGGAAGGAGGGGAGGGCACAGGAGGCAGTGAAAGCTCTTCCATCTGTGTGTGGCTCCGTGCACGTGCATGTGTGTGTGTGGGGGGGGGGGGGGTGTGTGTGGTTGTGTGTGTGCCATTCCCCAACCACCGACATTGCCATGCAATCATATCCACCCACTCACTCGTGTCTGTGCTGCTGCTGTTATGCCAGCGGTACCCTATCCGGTGCCGCACACTCATATCAAACACCACCACCTCCACCATGCCTGTCACGTCATCCCCCTCCTTTACGCACCCGCACCACCAGGTAATCACACGGTCACACCACACCCACCCACTCACTCGTGTCTGCACTGCTGCTGTTGTACCAGCGGTACCCCAATCATATGCCGCACGCTCATATCAAACACCACACCACACCTCCACCACGCTTGTCACTCCCCCTTCCACCCCACACGCCACCAAGCATTCACATCACACGCATTCACGCCCACCCACTCACTCGTGTCTGTAGTGCTGCCGCTGCTGCTGTTGAGCCAGCGGTACCCTATCCGGTGCCGCACGCTCATATCAAACACCACCACCTCCACCACGCCTGTCACTCCCTCCAATGGCTGAAGCTCCGCCTCCCACGATGGCCGCTGCAGGTGTAACCCGTGCAGGCTGGCAGGAATGGGGTAAAAGGGAGAGATGGGAAGATGGATTAGGGGGTGGGTGGATGGATGGGTGGGTATGCAGTGGGGCTGTCACGTCACACCCTCCTCCATGTAGCTATGGGCTGGGGGGACGGGAGACGGCGTGCGCGGGAGGCGAGGAAGAGGAGAATGCATGCGCGCAGGGGGAACGAGGGGCGGGGGGTCGAATGCTGCGCGCGGCATGCCGCGCAACGCGCATCCCCTCCCCCGCCCTCCCCCGTAGCCCCACCCCCTCCCCCAACACGCGCGGAGACGAGGAAGAGGAGACAGCACGCGCGTATGGGGAACGAGGGGAAGGGGGCGGAATGCAGCACGCGGCATGCCGCGCAACGTGCATCACCTCCCTCCCCCGTTCCCCGCCCCACAGGCGCGGAGACGAGGAAGAAGAGACAGCACGCGCGGAAGCGAGCAAGGGGGGAAGCATGCGCGGACTGAGAAGAAGGGGGTAGGCGGAAAAAGGGGAGAGCATGTGCCGAGGCGAGGAGCGAGGGGAACAATGGAATGGAAGGCCGTTGAGCGAGCGAACGCACCGGATGTAACCAGATCCCGACGACGCCCCGCGTTCGTTCGCGAACATGCCCTCGCGGCCGGCGCGGTACAGGAGCAGGTCGGCGGAATAGTAGGCGCGCTGACCTGAGTACGTGTGGATCGCGGCTCGAGCGGAGGAGATTAAAGCCAAAGCCAGGGGGAGGAGGAGCCATGGGAGGAGGACGGAGGATTCTAATCGTATGCGCGAGTGTGCGTCTCCGCGCGTTCTGCGGTTTCGAATGCGCGCGGTGCAAGGGTGCTCATGAGTCGGAGTAGAAGAGGCGTTGCGCGCGGTTGAAGCCGGTTCACAAGTTGATTCAGGAGAGGCGTTCCACCCAGTTAGAATGTGTTTATGCGTCGACTCAGAAGTCACGCCAGTCGTCGTCGTCGTCGTTGACTCACAAGAAGCATCGCGAGCAGTACGACGTGCGAATTCTACTGCTAGTAGCAGGCGACGCGGCCGCATTGTAACGTAACCAAGTAACCAAGACACCTACTAATGACACGGGGCTGTTGTATCTAAGAGCGAGTCAATTCTAGCCTCATCCGATGGGCTATTTTACAACTGGCGGCCGGAGCCATGCATACCACTGAGCACAAACCTGTACTTCCATAACTGCAACTCGACTAGGCGTTGACTTGTTACAGCCATTCGAGTGAGGGATGTATGAGTTGTAAATGTAAAAAAAGTTCTTTACAACTAAGCTCGCATAATGCAAACCGAGCGCACCCACCCCCCTATTTTCCGAGCGTTTTTACGCAGCACCCATATATCCCGTGTATTTGGAGGATTACAATACGCTAACAAACTACGGGCAAAAACAGCGCAAGGGGGATGAGGCTCTGAAAACCCCCAGAAAGCACGCATCATAGTCAAGATATCGAAGGAAAAAAAACCCCTGCTCATGCTCCCCATGGTTGAATTCTGTTGGCACATGTACAGATACATAGGGAACGTACATACATTACTACAAAACCACACCAATGCATCAGTCATGTGATATTAGTGTAGTATTGAGATGTCCTAAAACTACACTTCTACCGTATCACGCAGATACATGGGGAGCGTGCATACATGACTACAGCACCAGTGCATCAGTCATCTCACTGGCTGCGAAAAACCCCGCATCCACGAGGGCAGCAAGCAACTCATGAGCCACTATCGGCTTGCGCACGGCTCCATCCATCCCCGCCTCAAAGCACGCTCGCTTCACCCCAGCATCCAAATCTGCAGTCAGTGCTACGATGCAGAGCCGCTGAGGAGAGGGACGTCTTGGACTCATCGATTCTTCTTCCTCCTCTGCCTTGTTCGCTGCTGTTGATTCTTGAGGCGCCTTGAAAGAGATTTCGCTGTCGGAACCGTCGGCTGGTGTTGACTCTTGAGGCGTGTGGACAGTGAATTCGTTTGCTGCCTCATCGGCTGCTGTTGTGTCTGCTTCGTCGGCTGCTGTTGCTTCTGCCACGCTTGGAAGCTGCCGCTCTGCTGCTGCCAACAGTTCGCTCTCCATGCGCCGGATTCTCCGAGCCGTCTCAAATCTGCCTCATGGGGGGCCAGGTGATTGAAACAAAGGAAAGACACATTGCTGGTACCATCGAACCAAAGCTGACAGCAATGGGGACAGAGAGGCAATGGGGGCAGACAGCAATGGTGGTGAGACAGGGAGGACATGTGGGAGGGAGGTGAGGCAGGTAGGGCACATGGGGTTGAGGCAGAGAATGGCACGTGGGGGCGAGGCAGGGAGGGCATATGAGGGTGAGGAAGAGAAGCACTCAACCATTGATGCCAGGAATCATGGGAAGGTGTCTAGCAGCAGCAGTTGAAGTCTAGCAGCAGCAGTTGAAGTCTAGCAGCAGCAGTTGAAGTCTAGCAGCAGCAGTTGAAGTCTAGCAGCAGCAGTTGAAGGGGCAAGGAGAGAGAGCGGGTTGAGGAGGGCAGAGCAATGTGGTGGTTGGGGGCAAGGAAACACGTCTGAAGGCAGGCAAGCACTCACCCATCCATGCTAGGAGGCATGTGGAGGTCTGGCAGCAGCAGTTGGAAGGGCGAGGAGGGGGAGGGGGGCGAGGAAACGTCTTGCAGGATGTCCTCGCCCGAGGCCAGCAGCAGCACATGAGCCCCGTAGCCCTGCAGCGTTGGCCATGAGATGTCTCAAGGCAGAGAAGCACTCACCCATCGATGCCAGGAGAAGCACTCACCCATCGATGCCAGGAGAAGCACTCACCCATCGATGCCAGGAGAAGCACTCACCCATCGATGCCAGGAGAAGCACTCACCCATCGATGCCAGGAGAAGCACTCACCCATCGATGCCAGGAGAAGCACTCACCCATCGATGCCAGGAGAAGCACTCACCCATCGATGCCAGGAGAAGCACTCAGCCATCGATGCCAGGAGAAACACTCACCCATCGATGCCAGGAGAAGCACTCACCCATCGATGCCAGGAGAAGCACTCACCCATCGATGCCAGGAGAAGCACTCACCCATCGATGCCAGGAGAAGCACTCATCCATCGATGCCAGGAGAAGCACTCACCCATCGATGCCAGGAGAAGCACTCACCCATCGATGCCAGGAGAAGCACTCACCCATCGATGCCAGAAGAAGCACTCACCCATCGATGCCAGGAGAAGCACTCACCCATCGATGCCAGGAGAAGCACTCACCCATCGATGCCAGGAGAAGCACTCACCCATCGATGCCAGGAGAAGCACTCATCCATCGATGCCAGGAGAAGCACTCACCCATCGATGCCAGGAGAAGCACTCACCCATCGATGCCAGGAGAAGCACTCACCCATCGATGCCAGGAGAAGCACTCACCCATCGATGCCAGGAGAAGCACTCACCCATCGATGCAAGGAGAAGCACTCACCCATCGATGCCAGGAGGCATGTGGAGGTCCAGCAGCAGCAGTTGGATGGACGAAGCGGCAGAGGTTGGCGAGGAGACAGCTTGCAGGGCGTCCTCGCCCGAGGCCAGCAACAGCACGTCAGCCCCGTAGCTCTGCAGCGTTCGCCGCGCCACCATGCGGTTCACCGCGTTGTCATCCACCACTGCCACCCGCCGCCGCGCCACTGCCACCCGCACCGCCGCCTCTGCATCACCCGCTCCGGCGCCCAAGATCCCAACAACACTTGCCCTGCCGCTCCCTCCCAAGCTGCTCCCGATGCTGCCGATGCTGCCCCGTGCTGAGGGGAGAGTCAGCTGTGGCATTGTCTGCAGCTGCCGGCCTGCTGGGCTTAAAGGGTTTATTGGGCTTAGAGGGGCTATTGGGCTTAAAGCGAGAGAGTGAGCAGAGGAGCTCCGGGTAAGCCCTCTAGGAACCCCCATCCAGTGCTGCAGCCCTCTGGACTGCCCCTCACGCCCCTCCCCTCGCCTGCTGCTGCTCCCGGGTTCGGTTGGGAGAGGGGGGGCCGAGAGGGGCAGCGCCAGCAGGATGGTGGTGCCTGTGGCGCTGTCTGACAGCACTGCCATGCTCCCCCGCATCTCCGCCACCTGGGGTAGGGGAGAGGTGGGGTGGCACGAGAGATGGTTTGGGAGGCTGGGTGAGGATAGGGGAATAAGATGCAGGATGGTGGTGCCTGTGGTGATTTCTGAGAGAACTGCCATGCTTCCCAGCATCTCAGCCACCTGGAGGACGGGAGAAGGGTGGGGAGGAGAGGAGAGCGGCAGCAAGGAGTGGAAAGGGTTGTGAGTGGAGGCATGTGGTGCATCTATCGCCTCAAAGCAGGCATGACAAGCTTTTACTAAACCTCGGCCTTCAATGCTTTTCTGCCTTCGGTTCAGATCCCACTGCTCAGCTGCATTGTTTTTCTTAAAACAAGTTACCCTTTATTTGAGATAGCCTTCACATGGATCTGTACACATCCGTGCTCTCATGCAGATCCCAAATCACCCGATTGCCCATCTGTCTATCGAACGTTCTGAACCTCTTCTGTCAACCTTTGCAAGATGGTAGTGTAGAATTCCACTACTATAGCAGCTTGATAGAGCTCGAAAGCACAATTCCAACGCACCAAAGATTACAGAAAATGGTCCACTATAGCCACAGATACACACAAACGTAGCAGTGGTAATGACATTGTTGATTTCTGGTTTGTGCTCTCTGGTTTTATACTAGGACGCAATACAAAAACAAAACACATAAGAAAGTGTCGACCCGGGTCGCGCGCTGAATTTCGTCGACGCGAAATTTCGAGCCTTGAATTTCGCCGGGCGAATTCCATTGACTGGAATTCCGTAGACGAGAATTTTCGCCACCAGAATTCTGTCGACCACAGACTGTAACTCGCGTGCGAATTTTGTTGACTTCGACACTTCGCTGCCGAGTTTCAAACCGAACGCGACCCAAGATCGATTTCGCCAAACTGTCCCCAAACTGTCATGACAGGACACTTTCGGGACACTTGAATCGAAAGGTCTCCAGTTCGAAACTCGCGTGCACCATAACCAACGCCTTAGCAGAAACTGTCCTGAATCTGTCCTGAGACACTTTTAGGACAGATTGAAGGTTACGAGTTCAAATCCCAGCACCGAAATTTGTTGCTCATGGCAGCATTTCCTTCTAACAGGTAGCGCTCACTCTGTGCTCAACGACATGCCTTTTGAGGCGCCTCGAAACTCGTCCCGTCTTGAGGCGCCTCGAAAGTCGTCTCGTCTTGAGGCGTCTCGAAAGTCGTCTCGTCTTGAGGCGCCTCGAAAGTCGTCTCGTCTTGAGGCGCCTCGAAAGTCGTCTCATATTGAGGCGCCTCGAAAGTCGTCTCATCTTAAGGCGCCTCGAAAGTCGTCTCATCTTGAGGCGCCTCGAAAGTCGTCTCATCTTGAGGGCGGGCTGGTTGCGTGCACGATGGTAGTGCAGTGCACACTCTGTGCTCAACGACATGTCATCAACACGCGACCAGCACCTCTCAATTTGGATGCCGTGGCTCTCAAAGGCGACAATGCAGTTGAGAATTGCAGCACTCACGAGGGAGGTGGAGAGGAGGAAGCGAACAGGGTAGGGCGTCCAGGCAGGGCGAGCAGCAGCCCTCTCGTCGTGCGTCAGAGGGGTGGCTCTGCTGCCCCTCCTTGTCTCCTGTGCGCCCAGCAGAACAAACACACATGAGGGAGGGAGACAGAGACAGAGATATTTGGAAATCACTTTTGAGAATTCTCAAAAGAGGGAGATAGAGACATCGATATTTGGGAATCACTTTTGAGAATTCTCAAAAGATGGAGACAGAGACAGCGATATTTGGGAATCACTTTTGAGAATTCTCAAAAAAGGGAGACAGAGACAGCGATATTTGGGAATCACTTTTGAGAATTCTCAAAAGAGGGAGACAGAGACAGCGATAAGGCATGAGAAGGGTGCGAGATAGGAATACGAACGACGTAGGGTAGGGAGGGGGATGGAAGGGAAGGTAAGGGGAGAAGGCGTGGAAAGAGGTAATAGATGGTTTAAGATTAGGGAGAACGTAGAAAAGGACGAGAAAGAAGGCAGGGGCACGGAAAAGGGGTATGCAGAACCCAAAAGCAGCATGCAGGAATGGAAGAGAGATTCATCGCACACAGCTTCCATTGTAGTCACATGCACGCACGCATGCACGCACGCACGCACGCATGCATGCACGCACGCACGCACATGCTCATGCCCTGCTTCACCCACCATGCCCTGCTTCACCCACCATGCCCTGCTTCACCCACCATGCCCTGCTTCACCCACCATGCCCTGCTTCACCCACCATGCCCTGCTTCACCCACCATGCCCTGCTTCACTCACCATGCCCTGCTTCACCCACCATGCCCTGCTTCACCCACCATGCCCTGCTTCACCCACCATGCCCTGCTTCACCCACCATGCCCTGCTTCACCCACCATGCCCTGCTTCACCCACCATGCCCTGCTTCACCCACCATGCCCTGCTTCACCCACCATGCCCTGCTTCACCCACCATGCCCTGCTTCACCCACCATGCCCTGCTTCACCCACCATGCCCTGCTTCACCCACCATGCCCTGCTTCACCCACCATGCCCTGCTTCACCCACCATGCCCTGCTTCACTCACCATGCCCTGCTTCACCCACCATGCCCTGCTTCACCCACCATGCCCTGCTTCACCCACCATGCCCTGCTTCACCCACCATGCCCTGCTTCACTCACCATGCCCTGCTTCACCCACCATGCCCTGCTTCACCCACCATGCCCTGCTTCACCCACCATGCCCTGCTTCACCCACCATGCCCTGCTTCACCCACCATGCCCTGCTTCACCCACCATGCCCTGCTTCACCCACCATGCCCTGCTTCACCCACCATGCCCTGCTTCACCCACCATGCCCTGCTTCACCCACCATGCCCTGCTTCACTCACCATGCCCTGCTTCACCCACCATGCCCTGCTTCACCCACCATGCCCTGCTTCACCCACCATGCCCTGCTTCACCCACCATGCCCTGCTTCACTCACCATGCCCTGCTTCACCCAACATGCCCTGCTTCACCCACCATGCCCTGCTTCACCCACCATGCCCTGCTTCACCCACCATGCCCTGCTTCACCCACCATGCCCTGCTTCACCCACCATGCCCTGCTTCACCCACCATGCCCTGCTTCACCCACCATGCCCTGCTTCACCCACCATGCCCTGCTTCACCCACCATGCCTGCTTCACCCACCATGCCCTGCTTCACTCACCATGCCCTGCTTCACCCACCATGCCCTGCTTCACCCACCATGCCCTGCTTCACCCACCATGCCCTGCTTCACCCACCATGCCCTGCTTCACCCACCATGCCCTGCTTCACCCACCATGCCCTGCTTCACCCACCATGCCCTGCTTCACCCACCATGCCCTGCTTCACCCACCATGCCCTGCTTCACCCACCATGCCCTGCTTCACTCACCATGAATCTTCGTTGCTTCTTGCTATCACCACGCCCACCATCAGCAGCAGCACCACCACCAGCGCCATCATCAGTACCATCATCATCATCATCAGCAGCAGGGGAGCACGTGGAGTGGTGAGGGTCGCCCCCATACGGGTCCAGCACTCACCGCAACTCTTCGTTGCTTCTTGATATCACCACGCCCACCAACATTGGCGCCACCATCATCATCATCAGCAGCAGAGGAGCAGGAGGAGTGGTGAGGGTCGCCCCCATACGGGTCCAGCACCCACCGCATCTCCTCGGGTGGAATACCACCGCCCGTATCCTCACACGCCATCACCACCATCCACTCGCCCTCCCCTCTCGCCCTGCACGCCCCCTCCACCCACGCAGCCACCTCCCTCTCTAGCCGCCCTCCCTTTCCACTCTCCGCACAGCCATCTCCACCACTCTCCACACCTGCCTTTTGCTGCTCATCAACACATCTTGCCCTCGCACCTCTTCCCCATCCCCATCCTCCTGCCAGGTACAACCCTCCCATCCCTCCCAACCCTCCCAACCCTCCCAGCCCTGCCAATAGCCTCCCACCCTGACTCTCTGGTTTCGCGGAGCGACTGTCCAGGGGTGATGTGAGGTGCGGAGGGGTGCAAACGAGACGCGTGTCTGGGGGGAAGCGCCGCACACGTGCTGCCAGCTGCTGCCAGGCTGTGGGGGCATGCGGGGCTGCAGGGGCTGCAGGGGCTGCAGGGGCTGCAGGGGCTGCAGGGGCTGCAGGGGCTGGTGATAATGGTGGGGTGTTGGGGGATGGAGGGGTGCGAGGTGTTTGAGTGGCAGGGGGTGAGGCTGGTGTGGTGAGAGCGGTGTGAGAGGCGTGAGGGGTTTGGGGGGCTTGAGTTGAATTGAGGGCAGGGGAGGATTGCCATGGGGTGGGAGACACAAGGAGGGATGACAGCGGTGCGCTGGAGCCTTGCGAACGACGGATGGTGGGACGAGGGGTGGTGGTGGGACGAGGGGTGGTGGTGGGACGAGGGGTGGATGGCCAAGAAGCGGCTGTTTGAGGGCCTTGATGGTGAGGGGCGGCGGCACACCACACATGGAAGGTGACATGGCCTGATAGAGTGTTGCTCGCTGCATGCGCTGCAAGACAGGCGGATGGGGAGATGCCAAAGGGCGCAGAGCAGAAAAGAGATGTATAAGTGACCAACTGACCAGTAAAACCTGTCAAATACCTTACTTTTTACTTGTAAGAACTTGAGTTGGAATGATGTATTTAACATGGTCACCTCCTCTCACCCATCGCTTCCACTCACATGTAATCTCGCCCACAACTTGCACCACTCACATGTAATCTCGCCCACAACTTGCACCACTCACATGTAATCTCGCCCACAACTTGCACCACTCACATGTAATCTCGCCCACAACTTGCACCACTCACATGTAATCTCGCCCACAACTTGCACCACTCACATGTAATCTCGCCCACAACTTGCACCACTCACATGTAATCTCGCCCACAACTTGCACCACTCACATGTAATCTCGCCCACAACTTGCACCACTCACATGTAATCTCGCCCACAACTTGCACCACTCACATGTAATCTCGCCCACAACTTGCACCACTCACATGTAATCTCGCCCACAACTTGCACCACTCACATGTAATCTCGCCCACAACTTGCACCACTCACATGTAATCTCGCCCACAACTTGCACCACTCACATGTAATCTCGCCCACAACTTGCACCACTCACATGTAATCTCGCCCACAACTTGCACCACTCACATGTAATCTCGCCCACAACTTGCACCACTCACATGTAATCTCGCCCACGACTTGCACCACTCACATGTAATCTCGCCCACAACTTGCACCACTCACATGTAATCTCGCCCACAACTTGCACCACTCACATGTAATCTCGCCCACAACTTGCACCACTCACATGTAATCTCGCCCACAACTTGCACCACTCACATGTAATCTCGCCCACGACTTGCACCACTCACATGTAATCTCGCCCACAACTTGCACCACTCACATGTAATCTCGCCCACGACTTGCACCACTCACATGTAATCTCGCCCACAACTTGCACCACTCACATGTAATCTCGCCCACCACTTGCACCACTCACATGTAATCTCGCCCACGACTTGCACCACTCACATGTAATCTCGCCCACAACTTGCACCACTCACATGTAATCTCGCCCACGACTTGCACCACTCACATGTAATCTCGCCCACAACTTGCACCACTCACATGTAATCTCGCCCACGACTTGCACCACTCACATGTAATCTCGCCCACAACTTGCACCACTCACATGTAATCTCGCCCACGACTTGCACCACTCACATGTAATCTCGCCCACAACTTGCACCACTCACATGTAATCTCGCCCACGACTTGCACCACTCACATGTAATCTCGCCCACAACTTGCACCACTCACATATAATCTCGCCCACGACTTGCACCACTCACATGTAATCTCGCCCACAACTTGCACCACTCACATGTAATCTCGCCCACGACTTGCACCACTCACATGTAATCTCGCCCACAACTTGCACCACTCACATGTAATCTCGCCCACGACTTGCACCACTCACATGTAATCTCGCCCACAACTTGCACCACTCACATGTAATCTCGCCCACAACTTGCAGCACTCGGGTTGGATCGCCCATCAGCACATCCGGCACGCATGGGTCCACGTGGCATGACACTGCATGCATTGCATTGCATGCACGACATAGATGGAGAACACGCGGCATGATCGAAACATGATGAATTTGAAATCCAAATCACAAAACAACTTTCATACACTTACAATCCCTTCGCATGCATACCCTCAAACAAACCTTTCTGCATAACTGCATTATTCATACCTTTACATTCAACCCCTTTCCAGAAAATAAGCATACCCTTATCTTCCAGCCCCCTGATGCACGCGTCTTGTGTGGCAAGCGTGGGTGACAGCTTGTTCATCATGGCTCTCTAAAAACACGTTCTAACAACAGTTAACCGGGCTTCACATTTTACGCTTGTTCACAACAGTTAACCGGGCTTCACATTTTCCGCTTTTCATGGAGTTTGTCTCGCCGTCCTAAGAACCATCTGAGTTGATGGACGTTAGACCTCCGCAGCCCACCTGTTTACTGATAACAGCCCCCTGATGCACGCGTCTTGTGCGGCAAGCGTGGGTGACAGCTTGCTGAACAACGCGGAGCAGGCAGAGCGGGAGAGCCTCCAGCTGCAGCCTGCCGGCCTGCAGCTTGGCGAGGTCGAGAACTCGGCTGATGAGGCCCACCGTCTCCCGTGCACACTCCCTTTGACCTTTGAGTCGACTCATAAATCGTCTCCCGTGCACACTCCCTTTGACCTTTGAGTCGACTCAAAAATCGTCTCCCGTGCACACTCCCTTTGACCTTTCAGCCCCTTTGCACGAAAAAAAAGCCCATAACTTTTGATGAACTCGGACTCCCTCTGCAAAAGAAGAGCGTGTACCTTGCAGCCCCCTGGCACACGCGTCTTCAGCCGCCAGGGCAACGGCGTGCTGAGCAACGCCCCCCAGGCAGAGCGGCAGGGTTTCCAGCTGCAGCCTGCCGGCCTGCAGCTTGGCGAGGTCGAGCACGCGGTTGATGAGGCCCACCGTCTCCCGAGCACACTCCCCCGCGTCCCTTAGGCCCGCCGCCTGCCACTCCTCCAATGGCGACTCCAGCAGCATCTCTATCATCCCTGTGGATTTACAATTTAGAACGAGAGAGGGGTTAGCTAAGCCACGGTGACACTCAGTCATCCCTGCGAGGGGAAGAGGATTTCAGATAGAGGGATAGGGAGAGGGAGAGCGCTGTCACTGGATAAAAGTAGTGTTTTGAGACGTCTCAAAACACAATTTCAGATAGAGGGATAGAGAGACAGAGAGCTGCCGTAGGTCGTTTGCTTTCCTGTATGCTGCGATATTAGTGTGCTGTATCACTTATGTTTTCTAATGAAAGGTCCATTTGATAGAGAGACGGAGAGTGCCGTCACTGCATGATAGCCTGGAGAAAACTGAAACAAGGTGACTTTTGAGTCGACTCAAAAGACGGAGAGTGCTGTCACTGCATGATAGCCTGGAGAAAACTGAAAGCGTTGCTGCACGTGCACACCCCTTGGGGGTGCACAGCGAAGTGGACAAAAAAGCGAAAACAAAGTGGCAGCCATGGTACTATAAAAGGGCAAACTCTCACGCCGCACCTATCATGGTGCTGCAGATTGTTTTTTGAGAATTCTCAAAAACAAACTCCCACGCACCTATCATGGTGACTACTGAGTCGACTCAAAAGTAACCTCGAAGTGGACAATAAATTGGAGAACAAAGTGGCAGCCATGGTACTATAAAAGGGCTAACTCCCACGCCGCACCTATCATGCCGATGATTGGCGTGCGCAGCTCGTGAGAGAGGTTAGCCACGGTCTCACTCTTGCTGCTCTCTGCCTTCTCCAGCGCTGCCGTGCACAGCTCCATCTCCCTCACACCCTCTGCCATGTGCCCTCGCTTCCACGCCATCACCGCAATCATTGTCGACAGCAGCAGCGCTACCAGCAGTACCAGCAGCCCCAGCAGCATGGGTGCATAGACCAGGTCCCACCTGGGGTACGCTCCCTCGAAACTGTTGGCGCATGGGTAGAGGAAGAGGGGAATGGGGATGAGCCTATTTTTTAGTCGACTAAATAATGGGAATGGGAATGGGGATGGTTTTCTTCGGTTGACGAAAAGATAGCAGCAGTGCCACCAGCAGCACCAGCAGCCCCAGCAGCATGGGAGCATTCACCAGGTCCCACTTGGGGTATGCGCCGTCAAAACTGAGGGCGCACATGGAGTGTGAGAGAGACAGAGAAAATCCTTCTCTTAGTTTGACCTAAAGGAAAAAAGGAGCAGAAGAAGCAGCAGCCCCAGCAGTATGGGTGCATTGCATAGACCAGGTCCCACCTGGGGTATGCTCCCTATGCTCCCACCCTCAAAACTGAGGGCGCACATGAGGAGTGGAAGGGAGAATGGTTTTCGAGTCGACTCGAGGGGAAGAACTTATGAGAATTCTGAAAACGGGAGTGGAAGGGAGACGGGGAAAACGGTTTCGAGCCGATCCAAAAGGAAGTAGCAGCACCAGCAGCAGCAACGAGGTCGTTTTTGAGGCGCCTAAAAAACGGGAGACGGGGAAAATGGTTTCGAGCCGAGCCAAAAGGAAGTAGCAGCACCAGCAGCAGCAACGCCAGCATGGGTGCATAGACCAGATCCCGCTTGGAGTATGCACCCTCTAAAAGGAGGGCGCACGGGGAGTGGAAGGGCGAGAGGGAAAATGATTTTGTTATTTGTCAAGATTTAGAGGGTGCATGGGGAGTGGAAGGGGGGTCGCCATCTGCAGCACTAGCTGCATGGGTGCATAAAGTCCTCCTCGCCACGCCCCTTTTGGGGTATGCGCCTTCCAAACTGAGGGTGCATCGGGAGTAGAAGGGGGTTGGGAAGAACGGTTTTAGAGTCAAGGGGAAGCTGCGCCAGCAGCAACAGCCCAACAGCCCAACAGCCCAACAGCCCCAATGGCATGGGTGCGAAACTAAGGTCCCACTTGGGGTATGCACCTTCTGAACTGAGGCAAATGCAAGGGAGAAGGGCAAATGCAAGGGAGAAGGGCAAATGCAAGGGAGAAGGGCAAATGCAAGGGAGAAGGGCAAATGCAAGGGAGAAGGGCAAATGCAAGGGAGAAGGGCAAATGCAAGGGAGAAGGGCAAATGCAAGGGAGAAGGGCAAAGGTTGCAGAGAGGGACAGGAAGAGATGGGGAAGGAAGGACAGGACAAAAAGGGACGGGAAGGGAAGGGGAGGGAAGGGAAGGGAAGGAGGGGGAGAGGGAGAGCGAAGGACGGTCCTGGAGGCATGTACAGCGGTACATCACGGTGGAATGCTGTGGAACTTGGTGGAACACGGTAAAGGTATCACGGCACCCACCTGCAGTGTGCCTCGTACGTGCGGACGAACAGAGCCTCAGGGAAGGGCTCCACATGGTCTCTGCAATGCGAGACACTATCAGCCCTGGTGCATTGCGGTGGAATGCGGTGGAACAGAGTGAAAAGCGGCGAATTCCTGTGGCTCCAAGCACCCACTCACCTGCAGTGCGCCTCATATGTGCGACCTCTCAGCCCCTCAGGAAAGGGCTCCACAATGGTCGCTGCCAGGCACTGCTGATCCCGAGGGTACGCACAGTGGTGCATCATGGTGCAATGCGGTGGAACATGGTGGAACACAGTGGCAGAACCCACCCACCCACCCACCCACCCACCCACCTGCAGTGCGCCTCATAGGTCCTCCCAAACAGCCCCTCAGGGAACATCTCGACGTGATCGCTGCGAGGCACTACTGGCGCCGGCAGCACAAACGGGAAGACGGCACCTCTTTCCGTGCGCGGCTCATCTGGACCGTAGATCTGCACGAGCCCGCCAGGCTGTGTGCTGTCGTAGAGCCCAAAGGAGTACGTGGGAGTGGCTGTGGGGCCATACGGGAGAAGGGCGATGGGGGTGGGTCAGTGGGTGGGTGGGTGGATGGGTGGATGGGTGGGTGGGTGGTGTGGTGGCATGTTATGTTAAGGAAAGATACTCCATACTAGCTCGCCTGGCTGTGTGCTGTTCTAGAGCACAAGGGAGTATGTGGAGTGGCTGTGGAGGGGGACATGGGGAGGCCTGATGAGATATGGAATGGGAACACGGGGAGAATACGGGTTGGGAACACGGGGAGAATGTAAGATGGGAGGGAGAACATGGGATGGGAACAACCGATAACCGTGAGGCGCATCAAGAGCCGTTTTTAAGCATAACGGTTATTGGTTGTTCGTTCCCATCGGAGCCATACCTTGCTGACTTTTGAGTCGACTCAAAAGTCCCATCGGAGCCATACCGTCTCCATCCTGTAGCATGTCGAGTATGTTGCGCGCCCGCCACTCCAGCTGCACCGAAGCGGCCCACGCCGTGCTGATGCTCTCCCGTATCTCCTGCGCTGATGCGTTGGCTGGCATGGGGTGGCGCAGGATGGGAATCACAAAGACTGCGGGGGGCAGGGAGGGGTAGGGAGAGGCAGGGAGGGGTAGGGAGAGGCAGGGAGGGGTAGGGAGAGGCAGGGAGGGGTAGGGAGAAGCAGGGAGGGGTAGGGGAGGGGCAGGGAGGGGTGAGAAGCAGGAAGGGGTAGGGGAGGGGCAGGGGAAGGCAGTGAGGGGCAGGGGAGGGGCAGGGGGAGGCACGGAGGGGTAGGGGTGGGAAGAGTAGGCAGGGGCAAGGAGGGGGACGCGTTTGCTGGCAGGGGATGGCGCAAAATGGGAATCAACAAACACTGTGCGGGGCAGGGGGAGGGAGGGAGGGGCAGGAACAGAAAAGGGATGGATAGGCTAGGCACTCGTGTTGTAAGATGTGCTTTTGAGTCGACTCAAAGGCACTCGTGTTGTTGTAAGATGTGTCCAAACTAGGCGTGAAGGACAAGACGAGATGAGACAGTAAAAGGGGTCTAGTTTTGAGGCGCCTCAAAACTGAATACCATTTTTGCTCGTCGCTTTTGACGAGCTTTTCATGCTCAAGTCAGGTGCCTATTTGGGAATCACTTTTGAGAACTCTCAAGTCAGGTGCCTATTTGGGAATCACTTTGAGAATTCTCAAGTCAGGTGCCTATTTGGGAATCACTTTTGAGAATTCTCAAGTCAGGTGCCTATTTGGGAATCACTTTTGAGAATTCTCAAGTCAGGTGCCTATTTGGGAATCACTTTTGAGAATTTTCAAGTCAGGTGCCTATTTGGGAATCACTTTTGAGAATTCTCAAGTCAGGTGCCTATTTGGGAATCACTTTTGAGAATTCTCAAGTCAGGTGCCTATTTGGGAATCACTTTTGAGAATTCTCAAGTCAGGTGCCTATTTGGGAATCACTTTTGAGAATTCTCAAGTCAGGTGCCTATTTGGGAATCACTTTTGAGAATTCTCAAGTCAGGTGCCTATTTGGGAATCACTTTTGAGAATTCTCAAGTCAGGTGCCTATTTGGGAATGACTTTTGAGAATTCTCAAGTCAGGTGCCTATTTGGGAATCACTTTTGAGAATTCTCAAGTCAGGTGCCTATTTGGGAATCACTTTTGAGAACTCTCAAGTCAGGTGCCTATTTGGGAATGACTTTTGAGAATTCTCAAGTCAGGTGCCTATTTGGGAATCACTTTTGAGAATTCTCAAGTCAGGTGCCTATTTGGGAATCACTTTTGAGAATTCTCAAGTCAGGTGCCTATTTGGGAATCACTTTTGAGAATTCTCAAGTCAGGTGCCTATTTGGGAATTACTTTTGAGAACTCTCAAGTCAGGTGCCTATTTGGGAATGACTTTTGAGAATTCTCAAGTCAGGTGCCTATTTGGGAATCACTTTTGAGAATTCTCAAGTCAGGTGCCTATTTGGGAATCACTTTTGAGAACTCTCAAGTCAGGTGCCTATTTGGGAATGACTTTTGAGAATTCTCAAGTCAGGTGCCTCACTTAAAGCCCCTGAAGCACTTGCACGTCCGTCTCAAGTGCTTTCAGTTCAGTTCAGTTCAGGGGCTGCTCGTGTAGGTCAGGTCAAACTCATTTGCCACTCACCGACCGACTCGTTGGTGCGGAATGAGAAGGTTTGAGTTCAGCACTCACTGCCGCGCCGCTGGACATGTGACCAGGACCGAGGAACACGGGACCCACCCTTTTGTGGCGCCTCAAAACACGACACAGGGTTGGGATGGGACTGACTGAGGAACGCACCGCTGGACACGTGACCAGGGCCGAGGAACACGGGGGGACCAGCGGTGGGCTTCCCTGCGAGCAAGCTGGCGAGGATGTCTGGAGGAACGAGGGGAGAGGCGTCTGTAAGCGGAGGCACGTTTTCGTCAGTGTTGCCGATGAGGTTGACCGAGTAGAAGTCCTTGTGTGGCGCTGGTAGGCCCAGCACAGAGCGCACCTCGTACCCTGTGATCCTCTCCACTGTGGCTCTGAGTGTGTGAGAATGGGTGCGAATGGGTGGGAATGGGTGGGAATGGGTGGGAATGGGTGGGAATGGGTGGGTGGGGATGAGTGGAGATGGGTGGCGATGGGTGAGAGGGAGAGACGCACATCAGATGTTGACGCTGTTAGAAAAAGGAGAGAGAGGGTTTGGGTGGGAACCTTACGTGGTACCCTGTGTGATCGTCTCCTCTCCTCTCCACTCCACTGTGGCTCTCTGTGAGAGAGGGTTTGGGTGGGAACAGGCGGGTTGGGAGAGGAGAGGCGAGATACGCCTCATATGTTGACAGAGTAGAGGTCCTTGTGTGGCGCCGGCAGGCCCAGCAAGCACAGAGCGCACCTGCTATTGGGTGGGAATGGATGCGGAGCGCACCTCGTACCCTGTGATCCTCTCCACTGTGGCTCTGTGTGTGTGAGAATGGGTGGGAACATGTGGCAACGGGTGGCAATGGGTGGCTGGCAATGGGTGGGACTGGGTGGCATTGGGTGGCAATGGGTGGGACTGGGTGGCAACGGGTGGCAATGGGTGGGACTGTGGCCCTAGCACGGAGCGCACCTGGTATCTGATGTAACGTCGATCCGGCCGGAACAAACCGGATTTACCCTACCCGGCCGGCCGGGTCGGGTCGACCTGATACCCGAAAGTGACCCGGGTTGGTTCGACCCGGGTATCCAGGGCATATATTGGATCGCCCAGGGTCAAGATTGGACGAGACGACCCGAGCACAAGCGGGCAAAGGTACGAGCTATGAGCTGACCGCTGGCGCTAGGAGTAGGTTCAGATAGTAACGAGCTATTCCTGAGTCGACTAAAAAAACGAGCTATTCCATGGCAAGATCTGTAAAATTGGGTTTTTGGTAGATTTAGTGTGGTGAAGAGTGGTAGGCGATGGCAGAATGGTTGGAATGGAAACTTCAGCTTCCCTAAAAGTGTTGGGAGAAGTGCGAGTGTGCTGTGCCTTGGTGTGACGATGCGACCACTATCAATGACTCGATACCATACCGGCAGTAAAAATCGCCGATTTGGGCGGATCTGGCGAAACCGTGCAAATCGGTTACAGTGACCTGACCCGGACCCGGGTCGACCCAACCTGGTCCTGGGTCGAAAACCGACCGCCTCTATAAGGTCAAGACGGGTCGAGAGGCCTGAGATCTATTCCCGGGTCATTCAGATGATGTGCTGCTTCCCTCACCTGTCTTGCTCGTTCAGATGACTGAGGCGCCTAGGTCTTTAAGGCACTGAGGCGCCTCGGTCTTTGAGGCACAGAGGCGCCTCGGTCTTTGAGGCACAGAGGCGCCTCGGTCTTTGAGGCACAGAGGCGCCTCGGTCTTTGAGGCACAGAGGCGCCTCGGCCTTTGAGGCACAGAGGCGCCTCGGCCTTTGAGGCACAGAGGCGCCTCGGCCTTTGAGGCACAGAGGCGCCTCGGCCTTTGAGGCACAGAGGCGCCTCGGCCTTTGAGGCACAGAGGCGCCTCGGCCTTTGAGGCACAGAGGCGCCTCGGCCTTTGAGGCACAGAGGCGCCTCGGCCTTTGAGGCACAGAGGCACCTCGGTCTTTGAGGCGGCGCCTCAGAGCGTGCTTCCCTAACTCACATGCTATGTGCAGTCAGCAGTACCACCATCGCAGCCGGTCCCTCCCCCTCACCTATCCTGGTCGTGCAAAATCATCGCAACAGTGCCGCTGCTGTAGTTGGCTATGCTGTCAGCCCATCGCGTGTATTCCAGCAGAGTCACGTTGTTCACGCACCCCGCCAGCCCCCAGTAGCTCAGATTGCTGCTGCTGCTGCTGCTGCTGCTGCTGTGCTCTCACCACACCACCAACCAACCAACTCCCCCTCACCTGTCCTCCTCCACCTCACCACGTGAACTCACCTGTCCTTATCCTGCAGCACCATCATAACAGTGCCGCTGCTGTAGTTGGCTATGCTGTCAGCCCACCACGTGTATTCCAGCAGAGTCACGTTGTTCACGCACCCCGCCAGCCCCCAGTAGCTCAGATTGCTGCTGCTGCGCGGGCCGAACGAGCCCAGCACCCTCATTAGCCCGGTCGCCTCCTGTAGGGCAGGGCAGGGCAGGGCAGGGCAGGGCAGGGCAGGGCAGGGCAGGGCAGGGCAGGGCAGGGCAGGGCAGGGCAGGGCAGGGCAGGGCAGAGGTGGGGGTGAGCAGAGGGAGCAGGGCAGGCAGGGAGCAAATACAAGGCAGGACGGATCGCGCAGGCAGTTTAGATGGCTCTAAGCGGCTTTTGAGACGTCTCAAAAGATAGTGCCGGCAGTTTAGATGGCTCTAATCGACTTTTGAGACGTCTCAAAAGATAGTGCCGGCAGTTGAGATGGCTCTAAGCGACTTTTGAGACGTCTCAGAAGATAGTGCCGGAAGTTTAGATGGCTCTAAGCGACTTTTGAGACGTCTCAAAAGATAGTGCCGGCAGTTGAGATGGCTCTAAGCGACTTTTGAGACGTCTCAGAAGATTGTGCCGGAAGTTTAGATGGCTCTAAGCGACTTTTGAGACGTCTCAAAAGATAGTGCCGGCAGTTTAGATGGCTCTAAGCGACTTTTGAGACGTCTCAAAAGATAGTGCCGGCAGTTTAGATGGCTCTAAGCGACTTTTGAGACGTCTCAAAAGATAGTGCCGGCAGTTTAGATGGCTCTAAGCGACTTTTGAGACGTCTCAAAAGATAGTGCCGGCAGTTTAGATGGCTCTAAGCGACTTTTGAGACGTCTCAAAAGATAGTGCCGGCAGTTTAGATGGCTCTAAGCGACTTTTGAGACGTCTCAAAAGATAGTGCCGGCAGTTTTGATGGCTCTAAGCGACTTTTGAGACGTCTCAAAAGATAGTGCCGGCAGTTTAGATGGCTCTAAGCGCGGCTGCTGTTGCTGCTGCTGCTGCTCGTGTGTGCCCCTTGGTTGTAAGCGTTGACACTTGCAACACCCATCATGCATTGCACAACTACCTGTTAACCCTTCCACCGCACTGCATCCCTGGTTAGAGGGGACGGAGGGGGCGGATGGGGCGGATGGGATGGAGAGGGCGGATGGGACGGATGGGACGGAGAGGGCGGATGGGGCGGATGGGACGGATGGGACAGATGGGACAGATGGGACAGATGGGGCGGATGGGACGGATGGGACGGATGGGACGGATGGGGCGGATGGGACGGATGGGGCGGATGGGACGGATGGGATGGAGGGGACGAAAGCACCTGCGGAGTGTATGGGAACGGGTAAGGAGGCATGTATGGGGAACGGGGAGGGCGGAGTGAATGGGGTAGGGCGGAGTGTATGGGATAGGGCGGAGTGTATGGGATAGGGCGGAGTGTATGGGATAGAGTGTGTGTGTGCGAAACTTTTAGTAGGCTGTGGGATAAGGGTTGGGCGACAGGGAAGGGAAGGGCGACAAAAGAACAACGCATGGGAAACTTTCCCACGAATATCATGGGGTTACGGCGGAAGTACTGCGCGCGCAGTACTAAGGGGCGCGCGCAGTACCTCGGCGCGCGCAATGGCGGAGCGGATGTCTTGGTGGAGGTAGCGCACGCGCGTGCGGCACCACACGCGGATCGCCTCCTGCCGCGGCTCGTCCGCCTGCTTGTGCGCAAACCACACCACCCACGCGCACAGCCCCACCCATCCCGCCACCCACGCCGCCCCCAGCAGCACCCTCCCCGCGCCGCGCCACCGCGCGGCCAGCGACGAGCGTGAGAATGTCAGCCGCATGAGGCGGCGGGGGGAGGCCGCGCAGATGGGGGGAGCAGATGAGAGGAGGCGGAGCAGATGAGGAGAGGCGGAAGGGGCGACGGCGGAGGCGCGAGTGAGTGGAAAGTCAAGCAGCCTGCTATCATCACACACTTGGGTGCGTTGGCGAAAATGTAGTAATTTATGTTGTTGCTGGGTAGTGGCGCGGTTCGGAAAGTCGCCAGCAAATACCCATTACCGTCCTGTCCCCCGCTCCCAACATGTTGCCGGCTGGTTTCGGTCAATCAAGCAGATCACGCACGAAATGTGTTGCCTTGGATTTGGGGAGCACGTCGCAAGTGTGAATTATCATCTTTACAGTTTGTCTCGTTGATTTACAGTTCAGAGTGATTTGAGTTTCTACAACAATATAACGTTGGAAAAATCTCGCACCGAGACGACATCTTTATGCAATTGTAACAATGTTGGTTCCGTCCAGTACTGTGAGGAAATATCATTCCTTACTATTACTGAAGAACATCAAGTAATTGCTGACTCGATCGATGTTCTCGATCCAGACAGGGTCGTCGCTACCAGGAATTTCTTGTCTGCTTGTATTATATACAGATAGAGTTTTTAGAGTTCATCTGATTTTCCAGAAATTGATTTTTGTAACTTCTGATTGATAAGGAGTAGTTTTTTAGTTTATCTTATCAATCAGGTTCTTGTTTTGGTTTCGTCTGATACCGAATCCAATTATGTAGGGGTGAATATGGGATTCGAGTTGTGAATGGGCGAATCTGATGCAGGTGTCAGGGGGCGAATCTGTTAGTGTCAGGGGGCGGATCTGCTGTGTCAGGGGCGAAATTATTGTGACGGGGCGAATCTGCTGTGTCAGGGTGATGGCGAATCTGTTGTGACGAGCCGAATTTGTTGTGAGAGGGTGTTTCTGCTGTGATTGGTCAAGTATGAATCAATTGCGTCGAGTGACCCATTCGATTGGTCAGACATGCATTTCAAAAATATCTGATACATCAGACACCTTTAAAAACAGAATCTGATGGTTCGGGCCCGTCTAACGCATCAGGCGCCCTCAAATCCTAGCGACGACCCTGGATCCAGATACTACTCCGTGTCGCCTTCGGCCATTTTCCCCAATTTGCAACCTACCATCTGATTGATGATGCAGATAGGCAGGCGAAGGCTGCGCCAACAGTAGCAATTACGACAATCAAGATTGATCTTGGTGAGTCCTGTGGATAGGAACACTGCAATAACGGGGAGGATATAAAGGGTTGAAGCCAGCTTCATGGCTGCCAATGTCAACGATGATCAGGGCCACGATATCAGGGCAAAACATCCCGAATACCGTGATTTCAGGATGCGGTTTTGAATTTGTCAATTTTTACCCTGTGGTCTCAGGATGTTGTAATTTGAAATGCCCTAGAAGTTCAGGATGGTCGTGATGTTCTTCCCTGTAGCTTCAGGATGAATGACGAGGCTTGGCCTGACGCGATTTTTTTGGGTGAAGAGGATTGGGGGGGGGGGGATTTTTGTTCCCGAGGAACTTTTTCCCCTGGAATTTTTTTCCCTGTGTCTTTTCGCGCCTTCGAATGCTTCCTTTGATAGCTCCGATCCCCCGCAACGCACAAGCCAAACCCATCGATCTCGTCTCGTTGTGTAAAGTTCGTCTCAGTAGGCATGGGTAAGGGCTGGTCATTGGTCAGGGTGGGGTTTGGTGGGTTTGGAGTTTTCCGCATTGCCTGCATCAGTTGAAGGAGGCAGCTGCAGGTTTCCAGTTTGCCTCAGCAGGCATTGAGCGGGGCCGTGGCATGGGCATCGGTCGGGAGTCAAGCGACTTCGGGAGGTTTCGTTTGCTTGGATTGAGGGTACATTCGTATCCCGTGTCAGACACAATGCTAGACACGAAGTTGAGGTTCAGAAACCCCGAAGTGGCTCGTTTGTGGGGTGATTGACGGTTAGGAAGAGACAAATTGGAGACTAAGGGTTGATGACTTGATGTCTGACACGGGATACGAATGTACCCTGAATCAGAACCCTGACATGTCAGGATTACTTTCAGCAGTAGCCCTGAAACTACAAGAAGGCTTAAAAAAATTGCACTCACAAATCAGGGCATTTTTTAAGATTCTGTTAAGGGGCCTTGAGGCCTCAGGGTGGCCCAAATCCTAGCATGGGGCCTGACGATGATGTTACCCGCATTGTTTATACGATGTTGGATATTGGAGACCCAGCGCTGGAATTATGATACCAAACTTTACCTTGACATTCGATGACGTGAATTGATTATGCCAATAAGACAACTAGTCATTCTCGACACGAAGAACCTTCATCTGCCCGTCTGACCAAAGCTCACCCTACAATTTTGCGGACCTTTCCGCATCGTCAAAATTATTGCCCGCTGACTAGTATATAAGCGATGCCTTCCACGTCAACCTACTATGACCCTAGCCTATTGCGACCCTTCATTGCTGATGCGTCAGTCATTACTCGACAATCCGCAGGCCAAAGTGTTCGCTCTGTACCGGAGCCGACTCTTGACCCGTTGAAAATTCTTGGTCACCATGTACGGCTTAACTCAACTGGACGTCACATGAATTTTTAAATCTGTTGGACCGACCGTACTAGTGCGGACGACAATTGGGTCCCCCAAGCCTCACTTGAAACATACCGTTTATTTCAATATTATATTTCCCACAAACGAATGATGATATTGAGCACTTTCATTAGGACGGGGAAATATAAAGTTTTTTTTTTTTTTGTTTTTTTTACTTATCGGGGTTGTACTGCATCGCGTACAACCCAAATTCTCGGAAGTGCTGGCTTGGCCAAAAATATCAATCCCGAGGCTGCCTCGCATCGTCTTCGACGTTTCCCTTGTCGTTCCTACACAAAACCTCGCTTCCTTTAGGCTCCCGCCCAGCCAGAATATCCGTCAATAGCTAATCAAATCATTCAATCATAACTTCCACATACTATATTCCATCATACAGCGCGTTGAACATTGGCAACTAGTAATGGGCATCGAACGGTCAAGGACTGGTGCAAAGTCTTTCACATATTAGCGCTGATAAGGAAGTGAGGGTAATATCAAATTCCTTATACACGACCCAATGTTTAGGCCTCTGTTATATTGTACGACCATTCAGTCTCTATTGCACTTATTGAATAATTTATACGTATTTTTTATTCCCTCAGCTTCTTTCTGGCTGGAAGCGACACTGGAATATTTGTCCGATAAGCTTTGGTTGGGGCCAGGGCTTATTTTTTGTTTGGAGGCACTCTTTCATAAGAGAGTCACTATAGAACGGTGGTAGCTAGATTACGTGGAAGGCTACGGGGTTGCACGAGTGATTGTAGCTTGTTAGTTTGGTTGGTAACAGGGCAATTTGGCAAGAGTTTCACTCATGAATGTGGAGAACAAAAAATGATCACAATGGCAATGGCAAAGTGAATACATCAGCAACCTAACAACCTAGCAAGCAGACAGGCCGACCTCAAGTGCACCACGAGGGCGGCTTGCCAGCACTGCAAGTCAACGATGTGCTAGCGCAGAAGGGAGGCAGCTTGCGAATATTGCAAGTCGGCAACTTGCCACTGCTGCACCAGGGCGGCTCGCCAACGCTATAGCAGGGCGGCCTGCCAGCGCTGCAATCGCATGTAACAATACGCACACATGCGCGCACCTACTTCGCAGATGCAGGTAGACGAATGAGCACGCTTTGCAATGTTACGCACATTGTCCAGGCGCCAAGTCGGCCACGTATCTACGGCTGTGCCAGAAGTGCCGCGTCGACCACATGCCTCCGTGACGATGCTCGTGCACCCTCGCA